GTCAAAGACTTCGTCCAGGTTTCCAAAGTACATGACTTTGCACGTAGTTTAAGCCTTAAACATTGGGGAAATAGGTTACTGTTACCTCCAGAATTCGCCCGCACTGACTCTCTCTGCTACATCAAAATGGCTTTAGAACGCCAATGTGGCTCAGACGCATTTGCAGATGAAGGTGGCTGACCCTGCGTGAGGGGTGTGAGGGGTCCTCCACCGCGGCGCCACTGCTGCCACCCAGTGCCTCAGCGCACAGACAACACTCCACCCACCTCCACAGCGTCCCACGCGCCGCTCAAGCCCCAAACCCTGAAACGCAGACACTGACTGAACGGCAGTGAGGACTCTGCAACAGCGCGCTCGCCTGCAGCAGTCCTCAGAGCAGCGCGAGGCCGGGGAACACAGACGAGGACCACCCAAACTGACTGTCCCGGCCCAGATGTTTCTAAAGGAAACAACAGCTTGCCGTGAGACAAAACAGTCTTTAAATTGCAAGGAAAAAGTGAATTTACTTGAGAATCACAAAATGAAATTTAGTTCCGTCTTACTATTCAAGTCAACTAACGAGGAGCAAATTGAGCCGACAGCCGCGGTGGGAGGACGAGAGCTGTAATCAAGAAGCGCAGACACGCGGGAGGTCTGCAGAGTAACTTTGTATGTCATGGCTTTGTAACTGGGCAACCCTCTGAGAAAACCTCCATTTCAGCCCCCCTTCGATCACTCCCCCCAGCACTTTGGAGAAACCAGGCACATCCACCCCGTCAAAACCACAGGACGGTCTTATAAATGTGCCTCTTGCCACCCCACGCTCCTGGCTCGGATGAGGGTCGGGCTTGGCCAGGGACCGGGATGAAGCCCCCCACGCTCATTTCCTCCTCACCCACCACAATGTACCAAACCTCCGCGGGTCTCCCCCAGCAGCCTGGCCCACTCGAGGGTCCCCTCTCCCACCACCGACTGCGTCCACTTGAGAAAAGTCACTGCAACGCCAGCCTAACCACAAACCAAATGAACTGAAAACACACCTCCCGGGTGAAAAGGAGACACACATTAGACCACCTCAAGCCAAACAACTTCTGGATTAGCTGCTCTCTTTAATTATCCACACAAGGGTGCCACTCCACTGGATGGATGGAAACTGAGAGCAGCCCAGGGTTTGGGGCTGAACCTGAGAGGGTGAAGCTCGGTAAGGCCTCGGGGCCACACGGGCTTGGTCACTTACTGGTGAGGGCGGCGAAGTGGCTGAGTCCACAGCGAATGCGGGAAACCTGGACTCCTGGATTGAACTCCGTCAAGCCAAAGAGAGTGGGTGGAATCATTTCTGGAAGGGCAGTTTCCATGAGGTTTGGTCCTTTCCCAAGAATTCCATAGCCCCAGACGAAAACATGTCCTTCTCCTGGATTATAGGAAAAACAACGGTCAGGAAGTCAAACCAAGTGCAGCCCTCCCTCGCTAGAAATTCAAACCGCACCACCAAGATGCATTATATCCACATGGACTTTTTTTTTTCCCCTCTTCTTGCTTGGCAAGAACATGTTGATATTTAAAATAATGTTTCTTTTCTCCTCTTTCAAATTCTTGCTTGTGGAGTGTGTCTAGCCAGCTAACCAATCTCACAATACAAATGTCCTACATCTTGAGTGTGCTGGACGGGGCCACTCCATAAATCAGCCACAACCCCCACGTGAACACAGGAGAGCCTTAGAACGGCAGCTTTTCCTAACAGCGCTACGTCTCACACGGATCAGAGACCAAGCCAAGTACACACACAACTTCTGGCTAGATTCTAAAATTCGTAATGATTTTCAGGTCATAAAAAGTTTACTCATTAGTGGTGCCAGACGTTTAATCCCAGGGGCTTGGCTCCCAGTACCTGAACCCGAAGGCTCTTCTCCTATGTGCCCGTGGCTCTTAGCACGGCCTTTCTGGAGAAGGCAGGCCTGGGGGCTTTGGCCCAGGCTTCGGGAGGGAGCAGTACTTCATCCTCCACTCCAGAGGTTTGCAATAGTTACTCAGCTCTACGCTGGCTGTTTGTCGACCTATAAATCATGGCTGTTATCCTTCTGTCAAGAATGTCACCCTCACCCTCTATTAACTGAACTAAACTAACTAGATCTTCCCACAACCGTGCTCCCCGCACTGAAAACCACAGCCTGAATCCAGCGGACACCAACCCTTCCTCACCCAAGCCACCCACAGCTTCCCAGCAAACTGCCTGCGAGAGGGTCTCACCGTTTAGTACAGCACAGCCTGTGCCCCCACTCGCAGCCTGCTTCACCCGCCCGACTCCTGAGAAGGGCAGGCTCCGGGGGACGTTCACCTGAATCAAAGGAAGGGACCACACTGCTAGGAAGACAAACCAGCGAGAACTTGGAAATACTGTTTCACGTACAGAGTAGGTAAGTCCCGGTTCATTCATTCCCTCCCCATATATCTCCTGAACATCGTACACATGCTAAGCTTCTAACTGCATGCTGGGAAGATGACAGGCAAAAGGAGAAGCAGTCCCGCTCTCAGACTGTAGTCCAATGGGCGACGCAGATGTCAGCCAAACCTAACACGGGATGAATCTGTGCTGAATGCAATGAAGGAGAGTACAGGGGTCCCTGGCGTGAGTGTCAGGGGACCTGATCTGGTGTGCGGGGAGGGGCAATCAGGAGTAAGCGGGCCAGGGGAGAAGAGAAGGAAATCCTGAGGCAGCGAGATGGACCTCCAAAGGGAACAAGGTGAGTGTGGCCCGTTCAGGAGCTTACACAAGGTCAGAGTGGTTGACGCAGGGGCACAAGGGGGAGTATCTGTAAGATGCCAGTGGGCAGAAGGGAAACCAGATCACGCAGGACGTTGTTGATGATGGCAAGGGTTTGGTCTCTATCCTAAGCACAACAGGGAGGCAGTAAGGGAGAGGGACGTGATTTCTAGAGGGGAACGTGAGTGGACATGGGTAACAAGGGAGAAGGGCCAGGATGTCGGGCTGAGCATGAATTCACCCCGGGATGTACTGAACTTGCAGTGCCTTGAGACGGCCAAGTGGCACTTCTGCTCAGAGTGACAGATGGGAGGCTCAAGGGTTGGGAGAACGAAATGTGGCCAACTTAGCTGTCCAGCAGGATTTGGTCTTGGCACCCCTACTGAGAAATAACTTTGCAAGATAGATTTTAAGTGCTTCTGTGACAGCCATGAATCTTTTCAGAGTCACTTGCAAATGGAGGCAGCTGGAGGGTAACAATCCCTCAGATGACTCCAGAGGAGTAAAGGGGCTTTACTGATCCGAGATGGCCTGGTGTCTGCCGCCTGGCTCTCACAGCTTCTCTACCCAACTGGGCTCTGGCACAGGGCCCTCGGCAAAGGCTGAGAAACGCTCCAGCAAAGAGCCACTGGAAACGCACCACCGTTGTCACTGACAGGATGAGGCTTGGACCACGTAAAGAATCATGGATGCGGTGGGCTGCTTCCAAAACAAGTGACCCGTCTGTGCTAGTCACACCATGGATAATCTGCGCCCTTGTGTGTGGGAGTTAGGCCTAGGGACTTGCTTCTAAAGAACAGAATTCCAGCAAACGTGAGCGGAAGGCACTGCCAACATGAACTTACGAAGCACTGGCTTCCGTCTCACCGACACGCTCTCTCGCCCTCTCATTGGCTCACTCGGCCGAAGCCACGCTGTGAGCCACCACTTGGAGAAGCCTGCATGGCAAGGAGCCGAGGAAGGCTTGGACAACCACTGTGAGCTGGCCAAGCGCCAGCGAAGACCTGGGGCCCCAGGGCCAACAGTCCACGAGGACCTACACCCTGCTGCCAACCACCAGAACGGGCCCGGAGGCAGGGCCTTCCCAAGGTGAACCCCAAGGTGACACCAGCCTTTGAGAGCCAGAGACCCAGCTAAGCCACCCCTAGGTTCCTGACCCACAGAAACGGTGAGACAATAAATGTGTGTTGTTTTAAGCCGCTACATGTTGGGGACCTCTGTCATGCAGCACAGATAATGATGACACGACCCTAGATCTGCCCTCACAGGAAGGCCGTGGGAGACACTGATCTCAGGCCTTGCTATCCGGAAGGCCAATCCCTCTTCTAAACATTTTATTTGCTGTTTATCTTATGGAAACAATGAATCATTTCAATGACCACGCTTTCGTCTCTGTTCTGGCTACTAGAGAGCTCAGAGCCACATCTGCAGCCACTTCAAGCTACTGTGTCATACAACAGAGGATGCACTGTTTCATCCAGTGAGCTGATCTTATCCACCTGCACATGTCTCTTTATCTATTAATATATATTTCAAACCCTTCTGTATGTTGTCAGAAGCTTGATGACATCCAGTCCTTATCACTTAGAGATCCATGCTGATTTATGGATATGATGTCTAGGATTTGCTTCAGAATAACGCAGGACAGAGAAGCAGATGGAATTACAGATGCAGCGAGATTGGCCATTAGGTGTATGGGGCTTTTTGGAGAGCAGGGTGGGGAGGGTGAATGAAAATGTTCTGGAATTAGTGGGGACAGTTGCATAACCTTGAGAATATACTAAAAACCACTAAGTCCCACAATTTAAAACAGTAAATTACCTATTTTTTTGAACGGGCCATTAGTTGGTAGTTGTTGAACATGGATGATGGATACACAGAGATTAATTATGCAGTGAGGTCTACTTTTTGCTTACGTTTGGAATTTTCCTTAATAAAACGTTTGAAACCCTACTGTACTGTACTGACGGTGTGACAGGGAGAGGCCACCAGCAGGACTGCCAACGCCCTACTGCATGATCTAGGGGCCGCACAGGTGTCTTCACCAAGGTGCACACCTCAGATCTGTGTATCTGGGGGTACACACACTAGACGGCAACAAGAGGCCGACTGTGACATCACAGGACCTTATGTAAACAGCCTCACATCCCTTTCAGAACAAGACAGGGCATGCAGACATACCTAAACTACTGCTCTAAACCAGGACTATCTCATCGAAGTATTGATAATGATGGCTTTTGCATCTAAGCTTTCTTTCCAGGCTCCAATGAGATTGCCAAGAACTCGGCCGCTTGAAGAGGCAGCCGTAGCACAGGTGAGGCCTACACGGCACTCTATACATCACCCCTTCGTGAAGGATCTCTTCTAAACATCCTTAACACTCTATCTCCAAACCCCCAGCCCCAGGCTGCAGAGGACCTCGTGGGGTCTTACCTGTGTGGAGTCCGTGACAGAGGCCAGCTGCAGGTACTCGGAGTTCCCCCACCCGAAGAGGCTGCCATCGACCGACACAGCCAGGCAGCAGTCCCCGTAGGTGGCCACCTGGACAACGTTCACTCCGGCAAGGTCTCCAGCCAGCTTGGTGGGTGCGCTGGTGATATTGTAGTGACCCAGACCTGGAACAATGGAAAACTGTGTTACTTACTTTTAATTGTTTATTCTTTTAACAAACACTTGCATTGACCTACTATGTGTCAAACACAGTTTTAAGCACTTTGCAAAGGTCAACTCAAAATCCTAATCTGTCATTCTACATGCTGTACAACTTCCTTCTCCATGTTCTCTCAGAAGAGGAAAAACCATCATAGTAATTGTTTACTTTTAAAACCCTTGATGGGACTTCCCTGGTGGTCCAGTGGTTAAGACTCTGCGCTCCCAATGCAGGGGGCCAGGGTTTGATCCCTGGTCAGGGAACTAAGATTCCACATGCCACAACTAAAAGATCCCGTGTGCAGCAACGAAGATCCCTCGTGCCGCAACTAAGACCCGGCACAGCCAAAATAAATAAATAAATAAATAGAATTTCAATAAATGAACAAACGAATAAATAAATAAAACCCTTGATATTTTCTAAGTCTGATTCAAGTTACATACCTTTTCAGGATGAAACACCAACACACAATGAACCTATCAGACCTTGTATATTACATACAGGCACACCTCGTTCTATTGCACTTCACAGATACTGCATTTTTTACAAGTTGAAGGTTTGTGGCAACCCTGTATTGTCAAATGATGGTTGGCACCTGGGAGGCAGTATTTTTTAATTAAGATACGTACATTTTTTAGACATAATGCTATTGCACACTTAATAGACTACAGTGTAGTGTAAAGATAACTTCCATATGCACTGGGAAACCAAAGTTACAACAAGCAATTCCTAATGCACTGCTGGGCTTGCTAGAACATAAACGAAATCTCTAAGAGCCCATCCCACCTCAGCCCCACACCCCACACCATCCCCCAACTACAACAAATCAAAACTGGCAAACTGGTGTGGTACACAGTGACCAGAGGAAAAGACGGGGCTTGCCCGGAGGACAAATGTCACCGTCAGCACTGCAATGGAGAGTAACCCCTGGGCAGCAGACCAAGGTAGAACCCTGAACCACAGACTCGTGCTTGTACCAGGCTTTCTCAAAGGGGCCCAAAGCAGTGTCAGACTGGCAGCACCCCTCGGCAACAGGCAAAAAGCCTGTTATTATGTACTCCATATATAATAAAAAAGATTTTTAAAAATTAATTCAAAATGTTGAAGGGTTATGAAAGAAATAGGATGCTGAGATAGAAACTGCTTTAGATAGAATGGTCGGGAGCCTTCATTGAAGAGACAACCTCAAGCTGAGGCCTACAGGATGAAAAGGAGAGCACAAAAGAGCATTCTAGGCTACAGGAACAGCATGTGCAAAGGCACGGTGGCAGCACAGCGGAGGACAGGCTCAAGAATGGGCTGCAGGGGCCTCGTGGGGCTGGACTCAGAGCCTGGCAAGCAAGGGCAGTGGGGCCATGTGACAGTGGAGCTTCTGGAATGGCACCAGGAAACTGTTAACCACAGTTATCTCCAGCGAGTGGGACTTTCACTTTTCACCATATTCCTTGGTCTATGCTGTCAAAATGTATCAACAATTTCATTCTTTTCATGAAAAGCTGATTTTTAAAAGTTACCCACACCAAGATTTTAGAAAATAAAAAGAAGCTTCCACTTTATAGATAAAAAAAAGCACATTTTAAAAACTGGCATTGTAATTAAATTAGGACACTTAAATTGACAATACTCACTGCTAGAGAGGTTATGATTAAATTGATACTTCTATACATTGCTGATGGCAATATAAACTAGTAAAACTTTTGGAAAGCAATTTAACAACACATTCTGAAAACAATAAAAATATTCTAATCCTCTGACCCACTCCTGGGAATTTATCCAGGGCAACACTCCAAATGAAAGGAAAAGCTAGATGGCTACACATGACAAATGTCATATCTCCAATGGCTACTGCACCCCCCAAAAAGTATGCCTCCTGACAACAGGGTAATGAGTAATCACCTGACAAAATGATTAACTTACCTTATGGTACATTAGTTTGATGCTGTACCATACAAATATTAAAAACTGCAACTGAAAATTATTACCAACATGTAAAAATGTTTCATGTAAATTTAATGATAAAACAAGCATATAAAATCACACCTCTGCTATGATTACCATAAAAGATGTTCACATATGAACAAGGACTTGGGAGAAAACATGAGTCAAGGAACAAAGATGATGTGATGAGGTAGCAGGGTTATAGAGGATTTACGCAAGATTTAAATCTTAAATTTAAGGTCCTCCCTTCAGACAAATATCAAACACAGAAAAATAAAATATACAAGGATGATAAAGCTTATCCGTCATTCCTCCCTCCCTTAATCACATTCTTCTCAAATGAGTTAAAATCGAGCTCCCTTTAGGTGGCATTTGTCTCTTAAAAGACTCAGACTTGTTGCAGGACTCTCCAATCCTCTATCCGATCCGGGGACCCAGTGAGGGGGACGGGAGGGGACACAACAGAACAGCATTCCCAGGAAGTGACAGGAGAGGGAAGAGTCAGATGAAGGCAGCGGCACCATCCCACAGGGAGGGGGGCGGGGGTGGGAGGGACGCTACCTGTTTGCCCATCCGCGCCCCATCCACAAGAATACACTTCTCCTTTATCCGTCAGGAACAGACTATGGTCCTGACCGCAGGCGACCTATCACACAAACAGAGGTGAGGTTGGTGAGAAGGAATCCTTAGAAGCCGGTGTCCTGATCCAAGTGCCCAAAGCCGGGCACCACTCCCCACGGCTCCTGAGTGCCAAGGGGGCTGGGCTGGTAGGCTGTCCTGCTCTGCTCCGCATCTGACTTTCTCATTCCAGCACAGCCCAGCTTGTGTCTCCTACTCCCCTGAAACTGCTCTTGCTAAAAAAAAAGAAGAGTGCCAGGTGTCCTAAGGAGCGAAGCCAGGAGCTCCCCACCCTCCTCCCTCATCCATAAGCCTCTCTCCCACACCCCCCAACAGTGTCCCATCTTTGTCACTAGCTCAGTCTCCACTTCGGACCCTACAGGGCTGGAATCCTCCTCTGAGGTCTGCCCTCTGCCCTTCTCGCTCTGCACGCTTCCTGGGAGATGGCACCCACCCCCACGGCTTCTGCTGCCACCGCCACGTGGTCATCTCCAGTCTCAACCACTCTGCTGAGTCCCAGACCTACTTTGCTAACTGCCTAATGAAAAGCACCATTTAGCAAACATTCCTTACGCCAGGCACTGTGCTAAGTCAATGACCAAGGCCACCCAGTAAGAAACCGAATCTCAGAGAAGTTTGGTAACTTGCCCCAAGTCACCCAGTTAACATGTGGACAAGCAGGGACTTAAACCCGCATCAAGGTGGCTCTGAAGCGTGGGCAAGATGCACACTCCACTCCACCGCCACCTTGGAAACAAGTTCCCTCTCCACCTGCTCCTCACCTCCCCTGCTCCGGGACTCTGCCACCTGGGCCAAGAACGTCAGCGCCACCCATCTGCCTGTGGAGTCACACTTGGCTCCTTCTAGCTCCCTCCCCGCCCATCTAATCAAGCCCCGAATCTGGTCAATTCTCCTTACGTCTCCTCACCTGTCCCTTCTCCCCACAGCTTCCCACCTGGACTTCACCTCCTCCCTCAACTTTATTCCATGGCCAAAGTTATCTTCTTAAACAGATCGTGACCTGGCTGTCACTCACCCTGCTCAGAACCTCTGGCAGCCCCTGACCACCAAGAGGACAAAGTCTAAACTCCTTAATGAGGTGTACAAGACCCTGCATCGTCCCCTCTCAACCCGTCTTCCAGCCGATTCCACCCCGCCCCACCGCAGGCAGGCACACCACACTCCAGCCACACTGCATGCTCTCGGCACCATCGAGCCTTCAGGCTGCTCCTTCTGCCATAACACCTTTCCTACCACCCACCCCGGCCCAGCTGGTCAGTTCCTCGGCTACCTCCTCCATGACGCTGTCTCTCCTTCCAGTGCACGCCTGGTAGACGTAACTATTCTCCTTCTGGTGCTTTCATAAGTGCTTTCGGTAGACACTCATTTACATATTTAAGCATTTAAGTATCTACTATATGCCAGGCACTGTACCCAAGCATGGGTACAAGATAAAGCAGCCTGGGACACACACAGCCTTAATATACTCTGAGACAGCTAGTTTTTATAACCTGCCTCCCCCACTAGAGTGTTACCGCCCTCCCCAATTTTTACTAAACTTTGTATCCCCACAAGCTAGCGTAAATCCTGGCCTATAGTAGGCAGGCAATATTTACTAAAATAATTTATTAATTCAGAAAATCCCCCTAACAATTTGCCATCACCTCACCCAACTTCCACCCTTTCAAAATCACCCCCAGGGGTGGGACCAGTGGTTCTCAGCCCACGTCTCTTACCTGGACCACCTGTCCATCGAAGTCCTGCATCCTATGGACTTTGTGACTTTCACTACAGCCAGGAGCAATTTGGGGAGAACCAAAAGATATGGTCATGATAAGCACTGTGCGATTCTGGCCCCTCCCGTCACCCCAACTAGCAACCTCCCCACACACATAGCAACGTTAGGGAAACTCTCAAGGTCAAATATAAGGAAGAGGTAGGTCTGGGCATGAAAGGAAAATGAAACAAAATCCTTTGGTGATTTTAATATGCTGCAGATTTCTGACTGGTGTTTAGACCTACCAGCATAATGTGAGGAACTAGAGGGAAATTTTTTTAAAGACTAGAGGAATTTTTAAGTTAATCAATTTGGTGAAAATAACAAACAAAATCAAAGAAGTTCCACGCATCACAGTCAATGCTCACACGCCCTCCCTCCCACCTGCACCGGAAAGATACTCTCCACAGCCTTCCAGTGAGTTCTCACTGCTCCTCTCCAGCATGAGGAACCTCGAGTTTCACTGCTCTGTGGGTCCATCACATCATAATCACTCAGGGGGTGTTTAATGCTTGACACAATTTGGAGAAGGGGTAGTCCTTTCGGGAACTCACCTGTAAACTTCATTTTCGACCACTTTTCTTCCACACTGCCCGTAAGAATTGTTCCCCATGCTGAAGACTACAGGATAACACCGCCAATTAAATCAGCTCTGCAGGT